GGAAACTGACTGTATTAAATGGTGTGTTGGTGGAATGTTTGTTAAATACTTGCTTGTAAATGATATACAGGTTTAGAGAATGCTTTTGGATAAAATCGATTGTATTAAATGGTGGGTTTAAGGGCTCTTGTGTGTGTTGGGAATTCTTGGTTAACGCTTGCTGTGATGATATATATAATATATATATATATATATATATATATATATATATATATTATATATATATATATATATAATATGGTGTGTTGTGGTTGTGTGTGTTGTGATGTGTGTGTTGCTGTGTGTGTCTATGTTGGTGTGTGTTTATATATATATATATATATATATATATATATAATATATTATATATATATAATGGTATGTTGTGTGTGGTGTTTTGTGTATATTATGTAATATATTATGATTATATATATATATATATATATATATATATATATATATATATATATATATATATATATATATATATATATATATATATATATATATATATATATATATATATATATATATTTATATATATATATATATATATATATATTATATATATATATATATATATATATATATATACATATATATATATATATATATATATATATATATATATATATATATATATATATATATATATATATATATATATATATAATATATACTGTTATTATATATTATACTTACTGATATATATGTATATAATATATATATATATATATATATATATATATATATATATATATATATATATAATATATATATATATATATATATATATAAATGGTAGGATGACTTTGTTTTGGGGAAATAATTGAATTAAATGGTGGGTTTCACTGTGTGTATGGAACTTATAAACACTTGCATGTGAATGATTATAATATATTAAATGGTAGGTTTTATTGTGTTTATTAATGACTGTATTAAATGTTAGTTTAGAAAATATATATTTGGTTTTGGAATAAATCGACTGTATTAAATTGTAGGTTTTAGAAAATATAGTTTGGGATAATTCGACTGTATTAAATGGCAGGTTTTACGGCTATGTGTATGGTTGGGAATATTTAGTAAATACCTGTTTTTCAATGGACAAAATCGTTTGTGTCGACTTACACTCACACTGCCTGTATAGGATGGGTCTAGTAAGGATGGTCTTCTGAGAATCTATTAATCTCCTTTATCAAATGGTAGGATTTTTGGCCTTTGTTTTGGGGAATCTACAGTTTAAGTGGTAGGTATTTTATAGGCTGTGTTGTTGTTGTTGTTTTGGGGGGTTGTTATAATTGGAGGTATGTTGTTTATTTTGTTCTGGGAGTGTGTTCTGATTATTCTTGTTATTCTGTTTGTGGGTATTTTAAAGTGCTATTTATTTATTTTTTTCTGAAGTTAGTTCGTAAGTTCAGTATTAAATGTTTATGTATTTCTCTCTCTCCTCTTTCTTTCTTTCTTTTGTTACTCACTATCTATCTATTTCTTTGTCTGTCTGTCTGTCTGTCTCTCTATCTTTATTTACCTCCATCTCTCTCATTTCCTTATTTCTCTCTTCTCTCTCTCTCTCTCTCTCTCTCTCTCTCTCTCTCTCTCTAATCTCTCTACCTCTCTCTCTCTTCTCTCTCTCTCTCTCTCTCTCTCTCTCTCTCTCTCTCTCTCTCTCTCTCTCTCTCTCTCTCTCTCTCTCTCTCTCTCTCTCTCTCTCTCTCTCTCTCTCTCTCTCTCTCTCTCTCTCTCTCTCTCTCTCTCTCTCTCTCTCTCTCTTCTCTCTCTCTCTCTCTCCTCTCTCTCTCTCTCTCTCTCCTCTCTCCTCTCCCTCTCCCTCTCCTCTCTCCCTCTCCCTCTCCCTCTCCCTCTCTCTCCCTCTCCCTCTCCTCCCTCCCTCCCTCTCTCTCTCTCTTTTTGTCTCTCTCTCTCTCCCTCTCCCTCTCCCTCCTTCCTTCCTCTCTCTCTCTCTCTCCTTTCGCGAACCGGAAATAAGCCATGTCTTGTGCAGTCCGCGTGGCAGGAGAGTCTTGGACGCACAATGATGGCGGATATTAGTGCAATGCCCCTCTATCTCATCCCCCTCCCCCCGATCAATCCCCCTCTCTCCCTTTCCCCCTTCTCCCCTCTCCATCTCTCTCCTTCCTCCTCTCTCCTTCATCCTTCTCCCTTCTCCTTCTCCCCTCTCTTTCCTTCCCCCTCTCTTCCTTCATCCTCTATCTCCTCCTTCTTTCTCTCCTTCCTCCTCTCTCTCCTTCTCTCTCTCTCCTTCTTCCCTCTCTCCTTCTCCTCTCTCTCCTTCTTCCTCTCTCTCCTTTCATCCTCTGTCTCCTTCACCCTCCTCCCCTCCCCCCCCTCTTCCCGCCCCATCAACCCCCAACCCATATCCCCCCCCCTCCTTCTCCTTCCCCTTCCTCCTTTATCTCTCCCCTTTCCGGTTTTCCACTATCTCTCTTCTTCTCCTTTACTCTCCTTCCTCTTCTATGTTCATTTTCCCCCCTTCCCTTTTTTCTCTTCTCCCCCCCCTTCTCCCGTCCTCCCCTATCCCCCCCTTCCCCTTCCCTCTCCTATCTCTCTCTCTCCCTTCCCTTTCCCCCCTTCTCCCTTCCCTTCCCTCCTCCCCTTCCTAACTCCTCTCTCTCTCTCCCCCCCTTCCCCTTCTATCTTCATCTTCCCCCTTCCCTACCTCCCCTTCCCCTTCCCCCTCCCTTTTCCCTACTCCCTATCTCCCATCCCTTTCCACCCTTCTCTCTTCCCTTCCCTCCTTCCCTTCTCCCTTCCCCTCCACCCTCCCTTACCCCCTCTTCCCCTACCCCCCCCCTCCCCACCCTTCCCCCTTCCTCTCGATCGCTATCTTGTCCCGGAGATATTGCCGACAGGAGGTCACACATTTTTTTTCCATTATTTCTTTTAATATCTCTTTTTTCTTCTTCTTCTTTCTCTTTTTTTTCCCTTTTTGTGTGTGACTCGCGTGAAAGGGAGGGAGAGAGGAGCCCAATGGGTATCTTGATGGATCTGTCTATCTCGGAAAGGGAAAAAAATTTATCTGTGTTCGTATCTTTTTTTCTGATTCTGTGTCTGAGTGTATTTATATATCTATAGATTCGTGGATATATCTCTCAACTTTATCTGTATTAATATACTTAAGATATCTATTTATATATATTTTTTTCTGTTTCTGTGTCTGTGTATTTATATATCTATAGATTCGTGGATATATCTCTCAACTTTCTCTGTATTAATATACTTATAATATCTATTTATATTTATTTATATGGGTATATGAATATTTATATAGATAGATTGATAGATAGGTAGGTTTATATATACGTATATAATTGTGTGTGTGTATGTGTGTGAGTGTCTGTGTGTGTGTATACGTGTGTGTGTGTGCGTGTGTGTGGTGTTATTGTTTGTGTGATTGTGTGTGTGTGCGTGTATATATGAGTGAGTCTGCATGTGTGTATCTTTATGTCTGTATGCATCCGTGTCCTTACCCTCCCCTACCCTATCCTCTCCCACCCCATCCTCTCCCACTCCCCTCACCCCCTCCCCTTCTCACAACCCCCCACCCATATTCCCCCACCCTTAACCCCTTTAACCCCCTTCCCCTACCCCTTCCCCTTACCCATTCCACCTCCCACCCATATCCCCCTCCCCCAACCTCCCCCTCCCCTCCCCTACCAACCCCTCCCCCACCCCTTCCCCCCACCCACCAACCCCCACCCCACCCCACCCCACCTCCCCTCCCCACCCCCCAAACCCGCTCGCTTCCAGCCCAAACGGGGGAGACGACGACCAGATGACGCCGCTCCGATTTAATTTATTCTCCGCATCCCAGATCGGCTCAGCAGCTGCCCGCTTGTCCGCTCAGCGTTCAACAGCATCAGCAAATCATCCGGGAACTGTTACAGCGACTGCGAGATGGGCGGGATTACCTGTTGCCTCGGCCGTTATTGCTCGGGCGTGGGATGGGGGGGGATGCGTGTATGGGCGTATGTGTATGGGCGTGTATATGTGTGTATATGGGCGTGTATATGGCGTACGTGGCGTGTATGTATGAGTATATGGGCGTGTATATATGCGTATATGGGCGTGTATATGTGCGTACGTTGGCGTGTGAGTATATGGGCGTGTATGTATGAGTATATGGGCGTGTATATGTGGTACGTGGGCGTGTATGTATGAGTATATGGGCGTGTATATGTGCGTACATGGGCGTGTATATATGCGTATATGGGCGTATACATGTACGTACATGGGCGTGTACATATAAGTGTACTTGGACGTGTATATATGCGTACATGGCGTATATTTATGCGTACATGGGCGTAGATATATGTGTAAAATGAGCGTGTATATATATGCCCATGGGGCGTATATATATGTGCGCATTATAGCTTAGAGGGCGTACACGTAATCTCACAGATAAAGTCATACATATGTGTGTTGTGTGTGTGTGTTTTGGTGCGTATGTGTGTGTGTGTGTGTGTGTGTGTGTGTGTGTGTGTGTGTGTGTGTGTGTGTGTGTGTGTTGTGTGTGTGTGTGTGTGTGTGTGTGTGTGTGTGTGTGTGTGTGTGTGTGTGTGTGTGTGTGTGTGTGTGTGTGTGTGTGTGTTTGCTTATGTATACATGCATATATTTATGTATGTATTTATAATTACATCTATAAATACGACTATACGTTCATCATAAAATATAACCGTACACATTTTAAGCACTAAAAAAACTATCACAAAAACCATAACACAAAACACATTTAAGAAAAAACAAAAAAACGCACCAAAACAACACTCACAGTAATCCAACACCCTATATTACAGCATCGAATCCCACACCGCGAATAAACGAAACAAAAAACAAAACAGAATCAGCCTAACCTCCTCCAAGGGTTCATAAACGCCAGCTCACCTTATAACTCTTCAGTTGCTCGACGGTGCACGGGAGGAGAGCATCGCGTCCGACCGTCACGGTGATATTGGGGACTTTCTCGACGAACCTCGGCAGAGACCCGGCATCTTCGCTCAATG